TGTGAGCACATCGCCGAGGTGCGAGCGGTGCGCGGTGAACTTAAGAATAGTTTTGTGGCTACGGACTTATCAAGCGACCGTCGTAATCAACGGTTCGAGCAAAGCTCGGGATGAGTCCGCTGGGTCAAACCAGCAAGGAACATGACACAACATTGCGCATGCTTTGGACGTGAATGAAATCCAGGTGAATACACAATAAAGTGGGTGACGAAGTCATTCCATCCCGACTTTGAAGAATCAGGCCATGAACGATCTGGAACGACGTCTCCCTGACCTGGCCTCGCCCAACGAGACCCCGAGCGGGCGCCGGTCATCCCAAGGGGGGTGCAGCGCATGGAGGCGGCAATGAGATTACTGAATGACACGTGTTAACTGACAACAAACATTTTACGTCCATTCCCGTGCATTGTTGGTTTCATGCGAATCTCTTCTCCAAATGATCCAACATGCTCCAAGATGTTCAAAATCTTATGTCGCTGGCCTCGCCGAACAACAACGCACACGGCTGAATGATGCCCAATTTTCTAGTTTCAGAAACCGGAGAAGGGCGAGTTGAGACATTGCAAATTCAAGGTCGGCTCACAGCCGGTCCCCAGGCCCCTCCCAGGGTCCCAACGCACCAGATGTCCGAGCTGTGTCCGACCGTGGCGACGAGGGGGGCCCCCCCGAAAGCCAACTACCACTGCCTCAAGCGGCCCTCCGCTGACAGCAACGTGTGCCTTCGGTGTCCTGGCCCCGCCCGCCGAGACCCCGAGCGGGCGCCGGGCACTCAGGGGGCAGGGGGCAGCCAGCGCAGGGCGGCCGGGCGCGCCGCACACGGCGGGGCGCGCCGCGAGCATGCCGCTCGGACGCCTACCCGCCGTGCCGCGGCTTCGTGTTGTGCCGACTTCGGCGTTGGTTCGCCCTCCCACAGAGCAGAAGTGCCCAAACTGCGTGGCTGAGGATCTGGACTACGTGGGCTTCGACCACTTAGCGGAGTTATCGGTACCACACAAGCCACTGGGGGCACCTGTGACCCATTCATGAGTTAGCTTACGCCAGATGTAACCCACCTTCGCATTCACTTGTAACCCCCCTACGGCATGGGCATGGGCTGGTTTCGCTGGCGCCGGTTTCGCCGCCACTGGTTTCGCCGACGGCTGGTTTCGCCGACGGCTGGCTTCGCCGACGGCTGGTTTCGCCGACGGCTGTTTCTGTCTACGGCTGGTTTCGTCGGGGCGCTAGGAGGAGTCGTCGTCATCGTCGTCGTCGTCATCGTCGTCATCGCCGCTGCCGCCGCCGCCGCCTCCGCCGCCGCCACCGCCGCCGTCGTCTTCGTCGTCGTCGTGGTATTCGTCGTCGTCGTGCGGCCGGACCCTAAGGTGACGGTCGGGCGGGCGGGACCCTAAAGGGCAGGTCGGGCGGGCGGGACCCTAACGGGCGGGTCGAGCGGGCGGGACATTAAGTGGGCGGGTGGGCTTGCCAGCACGCGCACGTACTGGGCCAAAGCGGGCGGGTCGGACGGGCGAGACCCTGACGGGCGGGTCGGGCAGGTGGGACCCTGACGGGCGGGTCGGGCGGGCGGGACCCTAACGGGCAGGTCGGGCGGGCGGGACATTAAAGCGGGCGGGGTGGGTTGCCAGCACGCGAGCGCACTGGACCCGAAAGACGACGACGACCACGATGACGACGACAAAACCAACGACGACGACGAAACCGACGACGACGACGACGGCGACGACGACGGCGAACGACGACGGCGACGACGACGACGACGACGGCGGCGACGGGCGGGTCGGCGAAACCAGCCGTCGACGAAACCAGCGGTCGAGTCGGCGAAACCAGCCGTCGGCGAAACCAACTGGGCGACACCTGTCGGCCGAAATCAGCGGGCGGGTCGGCGAAACCAGCCGTTGGGGTCCAGCCGTTGGCGAAACCAGCAGGGCCAAACCAGCCAGGCGAAACCAACCGTTGGGGAAACCAGCCGTTGCCACGGCAGGTTCATGTCGTGACGACTTCGGGGTTGGTTCCTGACACCGCGGGGATCGTTCAGCCTTGAACGGTCGGCCGTTTTTCCGAAACGTCAGATCGTTCAACATCGACCGATTCTAGGTCGCCGGCGGCGTCCAATCTTGAACGCTGGCGGCGGGGTCGCCGCCGGTCGACGCGACGTAAACCTGTCGTACATGTTTCGGTTTCGCGGGTCTTGTTTTCGAGAGATGATGCAATATGTGCCGGCGAGCCCAGGGGGGAATGCAGAGGGGGCGGAGGCCTTCTCAGAAGGCTCGGTTCTCAGAAGGCTCGGAACCTCCGAGCCTTCTGAGAAGTCTTGAAGGCCTTCTCCGCAGACGCAGACTCGGAGGGCCAGGCCGCTTCTGAGAAGCTTCCGGATCGCTTCTGAGAAGCCCCGCCGCTGCCTTCTGAGAAGGCCTGGCCTCGCCGAGACAGGCGCACACGTCCGAGCGACGCCAGTGCCCCTCGGGGCCACGAGACCCCGAGCCGTCGGAGCAGGACGAGCGGAAGCAACGGCAGCCCCACATCGGCCCCAGCAGCCGGAGCAGGGCGAGCTGAGGCTGCAGTCGTGGCACCGCCAGAGAGCGCAACACGCGGACGAAGGGGCTGTGCTGGCCACGGCGGGCCTCGGGCGCGATCATGTTCCGCGACCTCGATCTGAGCAACGGCCAGAAATCCGAGCCCCTATTTCAGCGCCTCAACTGTAGAGGAAGAGCCAGCATCAGAGACATCAATATTCGACGGTCCGCGCGGAGTTCTCGGATCCCTCCTGAACCCAACGTGGTCCTTACTTCAGCCCTGAATTGTAGAGGAAGAGCCAACATCAGAGACATCAATATCGAGGGATCTGCGCTCGTTGTGGTGCTTCGAGCAAAGACAACTCAGAATCGGCGCCAGGACCCTCCCAGGGGGTCCACACGCACCAATCTCCCGAGCGACGTGTAGCCGTGACGACAAATGGCCCCCCTAGAGGCCAACTGCTGTTGTCTCAACTGGGCGACGATCAGAAACTGGCCTCGCGCGAGATGGCATAGCGACCTTCCTCATACGCCGCGGAAAACGCGGGCCGCCGGCGCGGCACGCTGCATTGGAGACGAGGGCGCTCACGCGAGACCTTCGGCGGGCAGCTTACGCGCCAACGTCGGCGCAAACGACCACGTTATTTTGCGTCGCTCAGCTGGCCCTCCCTGACCGAAACCGGACCCAGGACAAAATGACATCCTTCAAGAACACGAGACCCTCCGCCGGCCAAGACAAACGGAACATTCAAGGATGCTCTCCCCCAGGATGCACCAGAACATCCAGCAAGCACGCAGAACCTCAGGGGGCCCTCCCCGCACCAACCTCGGTCCGACTGCAGCGGGCGTCGGGCCTCACGGGGCGGGGGGGGCAGCGCAGAGCAGCGGGGCACGCCGCCCGCGGCGGAGGGCGGGGCGGGGCGCACGCGGCGGGGCGGTGGCGCGGGGCCGCGGGAGGTGCCCCTGTCGCGGGGCCCGTGAGCCCCGACCGCGCAGCACGCCACGGCTGGCAGGAGAGGAGGGCGGGAGGGCGGGGCAGGCCGGGTGCGCTCGCACCACATCCAGCATACGATCCCTGCCTCTGGTCCCTCCCTGTGGCGCTGCTGCGTTTTCTCTATCCGCGGACGCGTGTCCTGGCCGGCCCTGGGTCTCTCCGAGAAGAGCCCGGCGTGTGTCGTGCGCAGTCGGGAAAGGGGAGCTACGCACATAGGAGGAGGAAGAGGAGGACGAGGGGGAGGAGGAGGAGGTGGCGGGTGAGCAGGAGGATGAGCAGGAGGAAAAGAAGGAGGATGAAGGAGGAGAAGGAAGAGGAGGAGGAGGACGACGAACAGCAGCAGCAGCAGCAGCAGCAGCAGCAGCAGCAGCAGCAGCAGCAGGAACTGGAGTGGAAGGTGCGGGAGGGACAGAAGGACCAGGGGGAAGGGAGAGGGGGAAGAACCCCCTCAGACGGCTCAGAAGGCCTTGTGGAAAACTTTCTGAACCTTCTCCGAAGTTCTCAGATGGCCGGAGCTCTTGTGAGAAGCCCCGCCGCCTTCTTAGAAAGCCTGCCCCCTGTCTCACTGTCCTCACGGGCGCGCCGCCGAGATGAGGACGACTGGGACTGCACACGTCGCGCGGTCTGGCTTTTGGCGGGCACGGGCTTGCTAGACGGGCCCCCCTGTTCGCCCCAGAAACTCGCAAGACCACAGCAAGAGTGACACGGACCTCGACGTCGCCGCCTGAGGCCACAACCATACACCCCCTTCCGTGGTATTCAGCCACGGGCAGAGGAGACCACACCATACGCATCACACGAGCAGGAGCACGAGGGGCGGCACAGCCCTCGACTCCGAGCGCGACAGCGGCGGGAACGACAGACCGAGTGCAGCAGCAGAGCCCCTGACTCTACGTGCGGCGGCGGCGCGGGGCTCGAGGGCTCAGAACGCACCCGAGCGCCACTGGACGTTGCTCGCGCTGTCGCTCGGGCTCACACTGCTCGCACTCACCTCCGAGGACGGCCTGGCCGCCCCGCGCCGCTGGAGCCCCCCCGCCCGCGAGCGCGAGGGCTCGGCGGCGCCGTGGTGGCGCAGGGGCTGCTGCAGCTCGAGGACGGACCGGGGCTGCCCGGAGGCGCTCCTGGCCCAGGGTGCCCCCTTCCTCTCCACACCGCTTCGGAGCCCCGGGGGCCCTCTCGGCCGGGTGTCGGTGGCTCAAGGATGGGGTCCCGAGGGATGGGATCCTAAGGATGGGAGGGGTTCAACTTGCTTGAGGCACCTCGTCCTTAAGACCCCATCCCTCAGGACCCCATCCTTGAACCACCGAGGGCGAGGGGGTGGCTCAGGCCATCTGGGCTTCCCTGAGGAGAGCTGGGGCCACCGTCGGCCAGGGGCACCTCGGGCAGCACCCGAGATGACAAATACCGCGGGCTCTCTGCCGCAGGCAGGCTCGGCCGGAAACCGAGCTGCAAGGACGGCGGCGTCGAAGGCGTCGCCGCTCTTGGATTTGAAAGACTCACAGCCCAGATCTCGCACGACTAATCCAGCAACGTCTCGGCCTTCCAGCCCCGTCTCCGCGAAGCGCTGGTGCGAGTGAAAGGCCCGCTTGAGCCACGCTTCGCTGGAAGCTCCACTCGTGAGGGAAAATATCGTCCCCCCCTGGAGTAGGACGCTGCCCCAAATACGATTGGCTTCCCGAGTAGTCTCCAACATTGTGTAGTCCCGCGCAAGCCCATAATGCCACAATACCAGACATGGCATTGATCATGTTCCAACAAGTCTCTTGGCAAGATGCTGGTTTCAGAACGGCGTGACCACTGGCGCTGCGCGTCGGACAGCGAAGCCATCCGAACACGGATGCATCTCGGTTGGCTAGCGAGACGTCATGGGCCACATATCTGGCATTCCCTGCTGTCTTGGGAGCGAGATCCTCTGCTGGAGTAATGGTCTCCAGCCCTCTGGCTCTGCTCTCGCAGCTTCGCTTTGCCTCCTCGAGCTCCAGCTTCAGATTCTCGATCTCGGTCTTCCACTGGAGCTCCTTGCACTCGAAGGTGTTGACGAGCAAGTTCCTTTCCTCCTGCGTGCTTTTCAGCAGGGCTCTCAGTTCCCTGAGCTCGCTGTCCTTGGCACCGTCGTCGAAGTCACTTGTGCTCCACTGCAGCCTGCGCGTCAGATCATCGATGTCCTTTCTGTGCTTTGCCTCCTCCGACGCCAGCGCACGTTTGAGGGCCTCGACCCTAGCTTCTGCGATCCGATTGCTCTCCCTCAGGGCGTGGAGCTGCTCCCTGAGGTCCTAGAGAAGGGAAAATACGACATAGCCATAACCTTTCGAAGGTCCGCGCGGATTTGTTTGGATCGGCGTTGGATCCCTCTCCCTGGCGCGCGGTGCGCGCCAGGTTTGGGAGCCGGAGGCGCCGCCAGGGGGCTCCGCGCAGGTCCGAGAAATCCGCGTGGACCTCCGAGATGTCATGCTTAAGTCATGCACCTTGTTTGGCTCCTCGTGTTGAGCTGCTCACTTCGGCTACACGCAAGAACTGCCCGAAGCAAGAATGACCTTTGGTGCGCGGCCTCAGGAGGGCGCGGGGATGCCACTCCCGAGCGCACTGCAGTCAGCGATCCGGGGACCCCCGTGGGCCTGCACCCGAGCTGATTCTGGCGAGGAGTTCTTGTTGCGTGTCGCGGATCCCCGAGGTCCTCCGCCCCTGCAGCGCTGTGCTGCAGCCTTGGGCTCGCCGACAGCAGGGACGGCAGCGAGTCCAGCGACAGCGAGGCGCCCCGGGGCGCCTCGGTGCGCCTTGCGAGCCCCTGCGGCTCGCGCGCCTGCCCCCTGTCCTTCAGAGCGTCGAGCTCCTCCCTGGTCTGGGCGTGGCTCCAGAGCGACGCCTCGCGCAGGGCAGCGTTCGGTGTGACCATGCTCCGCCGCTTTCGGCCTCCCAGGGGCCCTCTCTTGGCCCCGGGGCCGTCGACAAAACGGCTCAGGATGGAAAGCCGGTCCCAGGGAAGGGGTCCAGACCTCCCGGGGGTCCACGTTGCGAAAACAGTCACAAAAGTTCCGGTTTTTTTGTTGAAACCACATACCTCGCATTATGTGGCCGGGTGGGTCAGTGGGTGCGCTGGCACATAACATAACGCGTTGCGCGCACTACGAACAGCATACCTGTGCGCTAAACAACAGGCGCTGCTGCAACGGGGGTGGGTGAAGCGGAGGGCGTTCTGTTATCTACTGGGTGGGTGGGTTGGAGGCCACATAACACGCTATGTGTGTGTGTGTGTCCAACTTCAGAGGTCTGGCCGTGGCTCCTCCAGCTGCTCCGTCAGGCGCTGGATCTTCGCCTCGCTCTCTGCCTCCCTGAGGGCGGCTTGGGCCTTCAGGTCCTTGGTGATGAGCCCCTGACGCACAGCGGCCTTCTGCAGGCCCCGGATCACCGCCATCGCCCTCGAGTTCTCCTGGGTGACCTTTTCAAGCATCTGATCGTCCTCGAAGTCTCGGAAGTCTCCGACGACGTCCACGGACCCGTCGCTGTCACCGCTGACGTTGAAGCCAGAGCCGCCGGAGCACGAGCAGGCACTTCCAGCATCGCTGTCGTCCTCTGCGATTGCCGCCATCGAGCAGCCGCTGGTCTTGGGCGCCACCTTGCGCCCGCCTCCAGGTGGCTTGATGGGGAGGTGCGAAGATGACTGGCCTGAGCCAGTGGTGTCCAGCAGCATGGTCAAGTCTCCCACCTCGACTTGGCGCATATTTTCCTTGTCCACCATCTGCAATCGAAGCTCTCTCAGCTCGTCCGCCATCTTTACGTTTGCGAGGTTCGCTTCCTCCAGCTCGTTCCTCAAGACTTCCTGGGTGGCGCCGCCAGACGAGCCAGAGTCCGACCGCCATCTGAGCTCCACCAATGCTGCCTCCGAGACGCTGAGCTCGCCGTCGAGATCCTCCGTCGCCTCTTCCGAGTGTCGCAGCCGCTGCAGCAAGGAGAGGGTCGGGTGTTACCAGAAGTGCCCCTGGCCCAAGGTGCCCCCAGGATCTCGAAGGATGCCCCCACTGCCTCCACAGCACCCCTCCCGAGGCCTAGAGGGGGGCCAGAGGGACTCCGACATGGAGCGAAATGCTGGGGGCACCTCAGGCCAGGGGCACGTGTAGCAACCCCCGGGAGGGACTCGGGGCTCGGCTGAAACGCCAGGTCGCCCTCGTCAGCACGGCGGGCGCCAGCCCCCTCCGACGCCCGCAGCGGGCCGTCGGCGGTCGGCGCGCCCGCCTCCCGCAGGTGCGGCCTGCTCCCCTCGCTGTCCGCTTCCGACCTGGCCCCGACGCTGCTGGTCGGCGGCGAGCGGGGGGGGGGGAAGTAACGGGCGCTGCGCGGCATAGGATATCGTTGTTCGCCGTCGCGGGCGCCTGTCCCAGGGCGGCTGGAAGGTTTACACCCCTACGGTCGCACGTCAGGGTATTAGACTGTCCAGCCGCCAGGGGGCAGGCGCCCTCGGCAGGCGGAGTCACCGTGGCAACTTGTTCGGTCTCGAGCTTCGGAAGCCAGCAGTTTCAGGGTGTTCAAAGCTGCGCTGTAAGGGCACACAGCGGCGCATGCGATTTGACGTAGTTGAACAGCGAAAGCCCTCAAAGGCCGTTTCGTCAGGAATGGCGCGGAGGTGTCCGCGCCACTTTCCCTCTCAACGCACGTCTTCACAATGTTTTTGTTTTTGTATCGCACTGGTCTTCTACAACTGCTTTGTCTAGTACGTGGAGTGGAAAACCAGGGCGCGCACTGCGAAGCTACAGATATCAATATCCATCGGGGCGAGCGCAGAGCGATGCTCAGTGCACGTAGCACCCCGCCATCGCGGATGAGAGCGACGGCGCGGGTGGGCGGGCGCGGCGCCTGCAGCCCACCTGCGACCCAACCGCGGCCCAACTGCGACCCACCTGCCTCGCGACCCCCCCGCGACCGACGCGAGCGCCCGAGAACGCCCGATGACGTCGGACGCTCCCCTCGGCGCGCCCTCTGTGCGGGCAAGACGTACACCGACATCCACCGCATCTTGGAATTTCCGTCTCCCTTCTCAGTCAAAGAGGCGAAGAGGACAACCATCTGGCTCCTAAAGGTAGAATACCTTCCATATCCACTGCACCTCGGCTTGTAAGCGCCCCCTTCCAAGAAAGCCCAAGACATGTGCTGCCCCATCGTACTTAAGGACCATACCCCATGAATAATTTCGAGCACCCAGAAAAGTAACGAAACAGTGTCGAACAAATATCGCCTCCCAAAGCCCGGCACCTGAAAACATTGCAGTTTCCGTACTTTCTTGGTGCTCGAACTTCTTTCTGGTGGTTCAGTTTTAAAGAAGGTTGGAACAGCATAACCCAAGTCATAAACATTGCCCGCGCTCTGCTCATGCTGCTACTGGCAGAGGCCAATGCAAACCTGGGTCAGTCAGGCTGTGCAAGATCCTGCGAGATCCTGCAGGATCCTGAGCGCTAGCTTGGGTCAATGCACACGTGGTGTTGCAGGATCCTGCAACATCCGGCGCTCTGGCTGACCCCCGTTTGCGTTGACCCCGCCCTCACAGCTCGATTTGCCTTCCCCCCCACGCTCGCCAGCGAGCTGGATCGCTGTAGGTCGTCCATCACGGCCGCCGCCTCGACCGTGGAGTCCCTTTCCTCGCTGGCCACGGAGGAACTGGTGCGGCCGTGCGTGTCCCCGCTGTTGCCGCTGAGGGTCTGCTCGGCCTCTGCCAGATGCTCCTGGGAGACGAAACAGCTGTGCAAACACAAACTCTCGGAGCTCCGCGTGGATATCTCGTGTCCGCGATGGACCCCCGTCCCTGGAGCGCGGAGCGCACCAGGGGGGCCCAGTGCCGGTGCGAAAAATCTGCACGGGTCTCTGAAAATTCATGTATCGAGGATCTCTGACCCAGGTCAATCCAAACCCACGGCAGTCAGGCTGCGCAAGATCCGGCAACATCCTGCAGGATCCTGATCCCAAACCCGGGTAAATGCAACCCTGGCCATGCAGGATCCTGCAAGATCTGGCGCTCTGACTGGTCCCCGTTTGCTCCGACACTCGGCTTTTGAGCCCCGAATGTTTGTGCCGTGTTTTCTTCGCCGAGCTCCACCAGGCCGCTCAGCTCTTCCTCTGGGGCCATCGCTGGGCCGCCCGCGGGAGCGACAGCGGTGGCCAGCGCGCGCAGCCTCCGCGCGGGCCGTGGCCTCTCGTGCGTGGGCAGCGCAGCGCTGCTATGCGCAGCGGCCGAGGCCCGTAGGGCCGCCGACGCGGGTGCGTGTGTTGCTGCGGTGCTCTCCGCCTCAGGTCGAAGGGGGCATGACGACGAGATCTACATAGATCCACCGCCGCTGGCCAGGCCCATGCTGGACCCAGGAGCGGTGTGTGTGTGTGTGTGCCTCCCCGGCCAAGCCAGGGGGGCGTATGCGCCGCTGCTGGGCCCAGGATGGGCTCGGCCAGCGGTGGCGGGTATGGATGGTCCAGGGTCTGGGCCCCCCCCCCTCATGCTGATGCCATCGGCCCCCCCTCCGCGCGATGGTCCCCTCCCCCCCCTGCGAGTGTGGTGTGGTGCTGTGGGTGTGGCATGTCTGGCGTGGTACTGTGGTGCTCCAGGAGAGCTCCGCAGGTCGTCGCCGTCGCCGTCGCCGTCACCGTCGTCGTCGTCGTCACCGTCGTCGTCATCGTCGTCGTCGTCGTCGCCGTCGTCGTCGTCGTCGTCGCCGTCGTCGTCGTCGTCGTCGTCGTCGCCGTCACCGTCGTCGTCGTCGTGGTCGTCGTCGTCGCCGTCGCCGTCGTCGTCGTCAGCGTCGTCGCCGTCGTCGTCGTCGTCGTCGTCGTCGTCGTCGTTGTCGTCCCCCCCCTCATCTCATCAAGGGGGGTGAGCCCGAGGGACCCTGAGACCCATCCCATCTGAGGGGGGGGGCCGTGGGCCTGGAGCCCGGGATCATGTCTGGATCTCCTCGCCCTAGAAGAAAAACGAAATAAACATGAACTCTCGGAGCTCCGCGCGGGATACTTCGGCCAGCGCCTCCAGCGCCGCCCATGGAGCGCTCCCCGCGCCAGGGGCGGGGGTGGTACAGCGCCGATCCAAGAAGCCCGCGCGGACCGCCGATGTGCATGCAGCCTTTTTCTCCTTTGAACGTCAAGGGGGGTGGCTTGCTCATGGGCAGAAGCATCGGGCTGGACTCGGCGATTCATCGCCGCTAGATCGGCGATAGACCCCCGACTGCGTGTCCGCACTCTCCTGGGCGGGATGGGCTATCGGGCCTCTAGCGGCGAGGGGTTCGAGGCGCTCACCCCAGCGCCGTTTTTCTCCATGCGGGCATTGCTGAATTCGACCTGTCTCGCGTCAAAGCTCCGTGAGCCACCACGTAAACGTGTTAGGAATACTCGAGGGGAACAGAAGGCGGAGGACGCAAGAGAAGACCGGCAATACACGAAATTCGCCCAATCGTATCACCTACCCTCAGCCCGGGTGCCCGGGTGCCCACCCCAGAGCCTGCCCCCCCCCTAACGTTGCCCCTGATTGGCCCGAGAGGGCGAGATCACAGCGGTGCCCTTCGTCGTGGGAGCCGCGCGCGAGCGCAGCTCTGGGCGAGAAGGGTCACTTCCAGCCACTGCGTGTGACTTGAGCCAAACTGCACGAACTCTGTCGGGCCCACGGGACTACAGCAACAGCCAGCAATTGCGGCACAAGCTCCAATCGGTGGCGCATGGTCCTTCCGCCAACTTCTGCCAGCGGAGCCGCCCTCGTTTTGCTTCCGCGGCCTCCCGCCTGCGTCCACCGAACGCGAGGTGTCAACCCCATCGACCCCTCGAAGGCGGGGCCCTGTCTGCAACGTCGTATGCGACAACGATGCGCGTACTCTGGATGCTGACCATCTACCCCTATCCCACCAGGCAGCCAAGGGTTCGGCTGCTAGCGATTTACGAACAGCTTCCATTTGAAACGTGGCTGAAGGATCCGAGGCAGACTTCTTGAGACTTCGACGGGGCCCCTATAAATAGTCAGAGGGGCCTAGTGAACTCGTCAATTCACCAAGGCGGGGTCGCCTGCCAGATCATCACCTCACTCGCCGCGCGCGGGTACAATACACTGGATTTCTGCTGCGCTCGGAGGGCCAAGAGCGGAGAGCACAACTGCTTTAGGCCCCTTTCTGAGGCCCCGAGGCTATGCCAACTTGCGTACCCCTTCTGTGGTGATGTATCATGCGATCTACCTCAAGCCCGTCACTCCCTGGACCTCTCGAGGCTGCGTTTTGACTAGGACTTCGAGGCGAATCCAGCCGTAGCGCCGACGGCCTCCCAGGAGACCCAAAGAGGCGAAACCTGAGGGCAGGGCAGCGTCATCGGCACCTCGTCCTCCTCTAGCAATACTGCCACAAACAATTTTGATGTATGAAGGGCAATGTGAGGGGGGGACGGGCTCATGGGGGGGGGAATGTCCAACTGGAATCGGCGGTACATCGCCGATAGATCGGCGATGGGCCTCCGATAGAGAATCCGCTCATTCCTGGGCGGGTTAGGATATCGGGCCCCTATCGGCGGTGAATGGGCGATTGAGCACCGAAGCGTCCCCCCTGAGCCTATGCCCCTCTAGCGCTGGCCCTGAACCCACCGCCGAGCAAGCGAGCTGACGGAGAGAGCGCCACAGGTTGGAGGCGGCCGGTGGTCTGAACTGGATGGGCCCCCCGAAAGTCTGCCACGAAGGGAAACTGAAGGGGGAATCTCCTCAAAATCGGATTGTACCCAGACCCCTCCCGGGGTCCCTCTGGCGCAACTCTTCACCCCCGATCCGACTTTGACGGCCCTGGGGTCCGAGAGCGGCCCCCGGCGATATAGACGAACAGAGCGCATGCTCGAGCCCAAGACCTCGAGCCTGCCCGGCCTCCCTGCTGGCGGGCACCGGTGCTGGGCCACCTCCGACAGCCACCGGCAGCTGTGCTTTCTCGCGCGATCCGCCTCAGGCCTGCCCGTGGAGGCGCTCGCGCCACGCCTCCAGGGCGGCACCGCCGCCCAGCGCCACCTTCCGGCACAGCAGCGGGCACTCGCGGCCGGCCGCCGCGGCCTGCGCCCGCCGCTCCCAGGCCGCGGGGGGCACCTCTGTGAACACGCGGGCGCGGCGCGGGCCGCTGTCGGGGCCGGACGACGTGAGCATCTTCTGTGGCAGCGCACTCGGACCTCCCATGCCATGTCGCCGGCTCTTGCAAGTCGACGCTCACCAACGCGAGTCGACGCTGATCGACGCTAGATCGTCGACGCTACTCAACGCTATGCCTGCGCGCTCTCGTCAAACACTAGACACTAGACGCTGGTGCACGCTGGTGCACGCTGGTGCACTCTAGACATGGGACCGCGAAGACACACAAGGCTCCCGTCATTTGCTACCGCAGACCACCGCTTAGCCTGAAATTCGGGCTTGGCAGTTTATACAAACTGGGCGTTTTCGCCGAGTCTCAGGCCCGGGGCCATCACAAATCCGTCCAGGTCGAAAAATGAAGCAGAAGGATGGGATCTAGGGCTCTTGCCGTGATTCTTCGCGATGTTGTATTTTTGTCGCAAGAAGTCGGATCTCAAGGTTTTAACAACTCCTCATTCCCGCTGGCCTGGCCTTGAGACCAGTGTGGGAATTCCCCAGAGACCCGGGGAAAACCAGAGAAACAAACATAGAAAACGCTGATGTTTTTGTTAGGGGGGATCCCTCCCTGGAGCCCGGGGGGGGGGAGTTTGGGGAGGTTCTGGGATTTTCCGGGGCCCCACACATAAACACCAGTAGCAACAACGAAAAAACACAGAAAAACAACCGAAACACCCCTGAAAACCAAACAACAACCACAGAAACACAAACGCACCCGAGGCTTTTTGGGAGGGTTCTCGGAAACGGTCCAACAAAATCCCACAAATCGCAATTCGGGAAAACCCACCCGGGACCCCCCCAAATCGAATTTCATTGGTGTTTATTGTTTCTAATGTTTTTCTATATTTCATCGCTGCCCCCAAAGAAAACCTCAGAACAAACCACAACACAAGAAACACACGTTTTGTTTTTTCCAAGACTTCTCAGGCCACCCCGAGCTCCGAGAGGGACCCCCCGCGAAAAAACTCTCACTCGGGTTTTTGTTATGTGGTTTTCTCAGGCCACCCCAAATCCCGGGGGGTCCTTTCTGATGCTCCTGATGTTCTCTGTACTCCCAAGCGACTCCCACGTGTGTGCGAGTAAGCACGCAAGTCTACATACCCCCCTTGAGCTCCAGTCTAAGCCGCTTGGGAGCTGGATGGCAGCAGAACCCTCTCACTGTTATTTCCCATGTTGTGGCAAAGAGCGGGTGAAGGTACGCTGGGCGGTCCTAACCAAGCCGTGTCCGCAGAACAACCCTCCACTCGGAGGCTTCTCCAGCCATCCCAGGCTTCGGAGGGGGAAAACCCCAAAGAAAAAAACAGGAGTTTTGTTTCTAATGTATGTTTGGCTGTTTTTCTGGATTTTCTGGCCACCCCATGCTCAGGGGGGGGAAGCTCACCCCCCCAAACCCACTCGGATTTCTTCTGAAGATTTTCGGGGCTCCTCCAGCCACCCCAGGCTCCTGCTGGGACGCCCCCCCGAACAAAAAAAAACGCCTCGTGGGCTTTTCTGAAGTTTTTTCCCAACCATCCTGTGGTGTCGGGTCCTTGTTTTGAAGAGACGGTCCCGCGTCTCCTCCCCTCCTCTCCTCCTCCTCCCCCTCCTCCCTCCTCCCTCCTCCCGTCACCCCTTTAACTCTGGCACACGCACACCTCACACGTTTCGTGGTCCCTTAGGGGTCTTCACCGAAGGCCTCAATGGCCGCGTTCACATGCCGACATCCCTCTACGTTAGCACACCCATCACACGCTTCGTGGACCCATACGGGGCTCCACCGAAGGTCCCAGTGGGTGCGTTCACATGCCGCCACCCCTCCACTTTGGCACAACCCTGACAGGTTTCGTGGCCGCATGAGCGGCTCCACCGAAGGCCCCAGTGGCCGCGTTCACATGCCGCCACCCCTCCACTTTGGCACACCCCTCACACGCTTCGCGGCCCCATAGGGAGCTCCACCGAAGGCCACAGTGTCTGCGGTCGCATGCCGCCCCCCTGCCACTTTGGCACACCCCTGACACGTTTCGTGG